CAACGTGACTTGATCTCCTTGCTTCACACCGAGTTCGTCGGCGAGAGGCTGGTTGAGGATGATCTCTTCGTCGCCAATTGGCGTGGGTGTCCAGCCAGGAACGTCTCCTAGTTGCCAGAAAGTTTCCTCAATACCAAGCACGGCCAAGTTGCCGGCCACTCTGGTCGGATCGTCGGGGCTGCCACCGATGGTTTGCAGCGTCCCTTGCATCAGCACAATGGGAACGGTCGTCGTGTTTTCGTTTTGCTGAGCGATCTGCTCGGCAACATTCGGACGAAAGAAACGATCGGCCAACAAGATTTCCTGAATCGATCCTAAGCGGGACAGGGCCAAGTCGCGGAGACTACCGCGGACCGAGTCGCCGATGATCAGTGCGCCTGTCAGGACGGCCGTTGCCGCGGCAACACCCAACAGCACGGCCAAGTTGGTTTGCCAAAACTGCTGAGCACTTCGCAGGACCAAACGCCAACGATTCATGGTGAGGACCTCCTTGGCGTTACGATTGAGCGACCGGCGGTTGGCCTTGCAGTTTGCCGTCGTCCAGCTGGAACTGCTGCTGGAAGATGGTCGCGAGTTCCTGACTGTGCGTCACAACAATCAGAATCGACCCTTCCTCTTTTTGCAGTTCCAACAGCAGATTGCCAACCGACTCGGCGTTCGTTTTGTCGAGGTTGCCGGTCGGTTCGTCGGCCAGCAGAAGCTTGGGTTGGTGGATCAAGCTGCGCGCGACGGCAACGCGTTGTCGTTCGCCGCCGGAGAGTTCGGCCGAACGATGTTCGATCCGCTGCGATAGCCCGACACGGTCGATCAGCATCTTGGCTCGCTCGATCTGCTGGGGTGTCGATTTGCCTACGGCGAGCGTCGGAACGAGGACGTTTTCCAGCACGGAAAGCTGCGGCAACAAGTGGTGATCTTGAAAGATGAAACCGATGTTCTCGCTACGAAAGCGGGCCAGTTCGGTTTCGCTTAGGGCGAAAGGATCTTGGCCGTCGAGGGTAACGCTTCCAGACGTGGGGGCTTCGAGCGTACCGATGCAGTAAAGCAGCGTGCTTTTGCCACAGCCGCTGGGGCCCAGGATGGCGGCGCTTTCGCCTTGGGAAAGCGAGAGGGAGATCTCTTGCAGGACTTTCAGCGACTCGGCCCGAGTCGGGTACTCCTTCGC